AAAAAAAAAAACTGACTATTATTCGCCACCGAATCAGCGTGGAACACGTAATTCAGTGATTCGCGCGTAAACGAAAAAAACTGTGTTGCAAGCTGAGAAACAGAGCGGAACGCGTGTCTCGCGAGAACGACACACGAGGTCGTAAGTGCTCCGATCGGCGATAAAGTTTCGTAGTGACTTGTGTAAGAAAGGAAAAGGAAAAAAACAAAAGGAAAAGAGAAGAAAGCAGAAATAAAGGGAAAAGTGGTGAACCAGAGGAGTGTGCAAATATATATCGTTCGCGTCGTGTACGATTCGTAAGTAACCAGGCACGGTTCAACGGCGAGAAAAATCTGGTAATCGGATCGATTTTAGTTGGAACGCGGTTCGGTGAATTGTCAGGGGAGAGTATACATTTACCATCGTAGCCGTCGCCGCGCTACACCGTCCATCCACCTTTCGCGTTGCCGCGAGTGCACGGGATAAAATGGCGCTTGCTTTCGTCCGTGTACCTCTATCGACCATGACAAACAATTTAACGACGGAATCGCGTCGACGCCAGTCGCGACGTTTCTGAGCAGTGAACATTTCGCGGCATTGCTTCCCCTCTCCGCCCCACCCTCTTGCTTCGTTTCGATCGTTTTAACACCTTTTTCTCTGTGAATCAAAACGATCGCTGCATCGCCGCCAGCCACGAGCTCGCGACCAACATCACCACCAAGACACCTTACTCTGTCGGAGAAAGATAATCTTGCAGATCCGCTGCGTTCTTCCAACATTCGGCAACGACAATTCCTGAGGTGAGTGAATACAACGCACTATATATATATTTACGCGACACGTAAACGTAAAAAAAAAAAAAAAAAAAAAAAAACAAATTCCAAAGCGTTGCATTGGAAATCGAGAACCATTTGTCGTTAGTTTAGAAGACACGTACGTTTAAGATCGGTTGCGAGTTGTAAATCGCTTCACGATAAATCTCGTCTGGACGCTACGCGAAGGGAAATGTTCGTTTTCCGTTTGTTATCCGCCACTTGCGACACCAGATATTAACGTTCGCAGTGAAAGGCATTGATTCGTTGAACCTCAGAACGCTGTGTCAGGAGCGTAGATTCCATTCGAACAGGTTTGCCATTTGATTCGCGTTACCTTCCCCGACGCAAGAAGTAGCAGCGACCAGCGAGACGGATATTACAATAGCGATCCAAGTCCGGCCATGTCGAGAGTCTCTGTTACTTTCTATCTTTCCTTTATTTCTTTCGTTCTTTCTTTTCTTATTTCTCTTCTCTTTCGAAGGTAGAATTTTTGTAGCTCGTTTGTAACGAGCGGACGGCTGAAGTGCACAGCGCGTGTATCGACGATTTCATAATTACGCAAATAAATCGTGAAAGGGTTTTTCGGGGTCGCTGGCACTATTTGAAAGTTTTGAGTGACGCACGTACACACGAAGCTAGCCAGTGTGTACATAGGTAACGCGTGTGTGCACAGCCGACTGTGTACACACGCGCTTTCGCACGCGCCTAAACGTGCCAAACGCGGTTCGCTCGTACGCGCGCGGAGCTATATACATACATGTACTACTCGGAAAATGACAGGCCATCGGTGAGCCGGTGTGTTTGAGCTCGCCTCCTCGTGCAAATATTTTGCGCGGGCAAACATCGGTCATGACGGATCATGTGCCCTCCTAGAAGGTAGACGAGAAGAAAGGTGCCTCGCGTCCACCGAGCAACGGGATATCCTGCCGGCTTTTGCGTAATCTCGCGAACAAAGAGTCGCCAATTGGATTACGCGGCGGATCGGACTTGAAGAATCGTAAATCGAACCGCCAGTTAACACTAAACGTACCGGCGTTTTACATATACTATAAGCGGTACACA